AGATGATTCACAAATGTATAAATTTAAGGAAAATTATTGTATATTGATTTGTTTGATATTGCATGACTGCATTTGAGAAAGAGAATAGGCTTGGATAATGGAATGTTTTGCACAAACACAGAGTTCCTAAAGTAGATAAAAACAGTGGTTGAGGAAAGTAAAGGATAAACGGAATGCTTAGTAGACCATTAAACAGTGAGCAGGGAGTAGGACCAGAATGTGTCATGTTTCTCTGAATGTATAATATACACATATTGTGGCAAGAAAAATCATAAAATGTTAACAAATTATAAACACTTAACAAATATTTCACTTAGGAACACAAATGTTGGGCTCAATAGCGGTTATAACTCGAGTACTAACTGTATTTATGAATAAATATGTAAAGTGTGTTGATTTGAGATATGAATATGCATGTACTTTTACATATAGACAGGATCATGCTATAGGTTGAAAACACAAATGATTTGTAGCTAGTGCTAACTGGACTGAGTGATGAAGGAATATGAACGCAAAATGAATATATCAAAACCCAAATTTTGTTAGGAATTTGTGTACTTGATAGAATATTTACTAAGGATGGTAAACTGGGTGGAGAAGTAATAGGATGTAGAAAACAGTGTATTGTTTGTAATCTGTTTTATTATACATAAGTTAAAAGTCTGTTATTTCTAGACAAACATAAAGGCATGTTAAATTCAGGAAAGAATAATTAAGAAGTGTCTGTGATAAAAAAAAGAAGAGATAGAGTCAAGAATAAAAAATTTGAAAAGTTGAAAAGTTTCACTTATTCATTTCTGAATGAATGTGGACTGACTATAAAGCAAATGACCAGTACAAAATAGCTACATAGAAATTGTTTGGTCATATAAAGAAAACGAATAAAGACTAAATTGTAAAACCAGTTTGTGAAGAAAGCATGAATGGGTTAAGAGGAAGGATAAGATTAAGAAAGTTGTGGTTGAATGGAGGTGATGAGATCCTCAAAAGGAGAGATCTGAAAAAATTTAAAGAACAAGAACTGTTTGAAGCACTGCGTGGACAGAATGAAAGCATAGATCTTTACAAGGATAGGTCAGATGTGAGGGATCCGAAGGTGAAAAGGCAGGTGCTTTTATCAATGTCTTCTTAATGAAGCTATATCTTTTTGCCAGTTGTGCAGTAGCTCCACACTTCCAGGAAAATAAGCTTTTGAATTAAAACCAGAAAACCTCCTCTACTCCAAAGCTGTGCTGGAATGTACAGCTGAAGAAGGAGTGGGGGAGGGGAATCTCAGCAATTGCACCATGGTTTCTGAGGAGGGAAGCAACATGTTCCAGAGAAGGACCCAAGATGACTGTGTAATCCTGAACTGGATGGGAGAGGGAGTAACCATACCCTAGAATGTTCAGGGGTAGCTCTATTAGGTTACAAGGTTGTAGCTTTGTTTGGCAGGAATCTGTCTATTAGGCATAAGCAAATAAAAACTGGACTTTTAAATCCTTATTTTGATTTTACTGTGACATCTTTGGGTTCGGGCTTCACAAAAGCTGCTTGTTGAATCCTTTCAGAGTCTCATAGNGCGGGCAATCACACACTCACCTGCTGCTCATGCAAATGGGTATGTGCCTATGTGATCTCGTCTGCCATTTCTAGCTCCAAAAGGCTCAAGGCTCAGTAGTGGACCACAGCCAGGGGTTGGGGATCCCTGATTTAGTCTCTAGGCCCCTAATCATCTTCGTTGCTCTTTTCTGCACTCTTCCCAAAGTCTCAATATCCTTTTCATATGTGGTGATCAAAACTTAATGCAGTTTTCCAGATGCGGCCTTACTAAGATTTTATAAAGTGATACTAATACTTCACATGAATCTTGACACTTGGCAACCCATTTATGATTGGTTGCCAAGCACTCTGCAATCACCTGATCTCCATTTGTAACCATCCGTGCCAGTTTGTCCAGAAAATCAAGGGGGGAGCTAACAGGGAAGATTGCAAGTCATTGGGGTAAGTCTCTGCCACCTGAACACACACTCCCTAGAGTCTTCCCTTGCATTGACCGCTTGGGGACCTTCACGCATGCTCCTGAACCCCTCCCCCAAATTCACTTCTACCTTGCAGCAGCTTGCCAGCCTGGAATTTGAAACTTCCTACTGCCTCCCCACTGACTTTGCTTGTGACAATCCAGCAGGAAGTTGCCTTCCTAACCACTGTGGGATTCAGTGGCAACCAATTCTGAAGGGATTGTTATATGATGCGGTCATGATTTATTACTGCATTTTTTGGCAACAAAAGTTCTGGTCCCAATTGTTGTCGTAAGTTGAGAACCACATGAATAAAAAGGAGAATTCCAAATTCAAAGATATGTGGGCAAGGATCTGTAAATTATATCCCCTTATCCCCTTATTTATTGCTTATCTCCCTGGAAGTCTCCTGGTGTCATTTTTTTCATGTTAGCATTTATCTTCAGGTTTCCTTCCTTGTATTATTTTGCTTAAGGTCAGCAATGTGCAAAACCATATCTTTGTCAAGGCTCGTTTAATACACTGAATAGTAGATGATGCATGAAAACAGTCATTCATGTCGGAATGTTATAGAAAAACCTTTAAATGTTGACTATGGAGGGGCATTAGAATTTTGAGAAAACACTCGGTTTATTTTTTTATATTTTTATAAAAAAAATATCATTTATTATTTATACCAAGGTAATTTTACATTGCCCACTACATTTTTGTAATGTCCAGTGTAAAATTAGCCTGGTATAAATAATAAATGTTGATTTTCATACACATGACACAAAATGATGATAGCTAAAATAGCATGTTCCTATCTTTCATTTTTATCAAATGAAATCCACAATCTAGATTACTTGTGAAAACCTTTATACTAGAGATGTTTAATTTCTGGAAGTTTTGAAGCAATATTTCCTGAGGCTTGGGGGCCACTGTGAGGGATGTGGGAATTAATATGTACATGAAAAATACTTATATTACTACTTTTTACCATGGGCATTCTGGAGTGCCAAGTAGGGACAAAAGATGGAACAAATATAGTGAAGTTGTATTGCTTGTTTTGTACATTATTCATATAGTTAAGGGTAGCGTTTGCATTGTGACATTAATTTAGTTAGTCTTATGAAAAATTGGTTTCTATGAATAGGTTTGCAGAAAGGCAAAAGTTGTTGGTGGATACAGAAGTTTATTGTGAAACATGCTATTCCGAACTTTGTCCTTCACTAATTTCAGAGAAAAAGAGGTGGAAAAAACTCCAAGGCAAAATGTCACCTCAAATGTTGTTTATTTAGTCACATTTTCTGTGTTTGAAATATTATCTGTTAGAAGTTTCCACTTCTAGTAATTTTTTATTTTTGCAATTTTATCATTTTATGGAGTTTTGGAAACTGAAGGTTTGCCTGTATAGATACATGTGTCTCTTATTCTATTTCTTTCTTCTTATAGAAAGAAAAAGATTAGGAAGAATTACATAATAAATTTTCCTGGGAAAGTAAACAAAACACTCTTTTTTCATATTGTTCTTCTCCACTTGGTATTTCATGCACATTTTCAAAGTACAGTATATTACACCTTTGTTTTGCTAAGTGTTGCATATGCTATATGTGATAGCTGCTTATATTTATGCAACATCTAGCAAATTGCATAATGTTACTGATATAATGCTTTTCCCACTAATATTACTTTGGATCCATTTAGTAAGAGTCTCGCTCTAAATTATCTATGATTTTAAAGGATAAAACTACAACCTTGAATTGAGCTCAGGTAGCAACAGACAACTCAGGTTAAATTTTAGAATATGATATGATAATAATACGGTATACAGGTTAATAGTGTAATAACTTCATTTTATACCATTCGAAGCTGTTCAAGGTTAGTCGCAAACAACATATAGTAATAGTCTAGCCATCATGTAACCAAAGTATGGTTATCTTAATGCTTTTCCAACCAGCTTAGGAACTGTTTTAACTGATGCAGTAAACAGCACTATTCAATTATTTGGATTTAATTTCAGCTTCTTCAAGGGTACTCAGTACTACGTCAACAACTCAATCGTACTTAGTATAGTGAGCATATTGACGACTCTTTACTGTACTGTAAAATTTTATGTGTCCTCTCTCATCAGGTTCATATATCTATTAAGGGGGCATTATCGATTGGGAGAATGCCATCATTGTTCCTGTATACAAACTGAAAGGTACCAAGAGTGAATGCAAAAAATTTAGGGGGATTAATGTCTTAAGTATGCCTGAGAAGATGTTTGGCAGAATACTGTTTGAAAGAGTATGAGACATGAATAAAACCTGGGGAATGCAGTGTGGAATTATCTGGTTCAGAATCTGTGAAGACCACATGTTCACTCTACAGCAGATGATTCACAAATGTATAAATTTAAGGAAAATTATTGTATATTGATTTGTTTGATATTGCATGACTGCATTTGAGAAAGAGAATAGGCTTGGATAATGGAATGTTTTGCACAAACACAGAGTTCCTAAAGTAGATAAAAACAGTGGTTGAGGAAAGTAAAGGATAAACGGAATGCTTAGTAGACCATTAAACAGTGAGCAGGGAGTAGGACCAGAATGTGTCATGTTTCTCTGAATGTATAATATACACATATTGTGGCAAGAAAAATCATAAAATGTTAACAAATTATAAACACTTAACAAATATTTCACTTAG